ATGTTAGGGTTGGTTTGCCATTAATTTTCACTAGGGATTCATAAAGGAGGTTGACGGCACTTTTAAGAAACCTCTGTCTTCTGGCATATGGCATCTATGGCGGGTTGGTGTCAAGGCCTGTACTAGGTGAGCTTGGTGCCTCATTATCATAGTCTGGATGAGCATAAATTGTTTGGAAAGTGAGCTAACACCTCATGTTAACCCTGTGTTCCTCAAACAAATACATTCATATTTTAGAAAGTGGCTAAAAAGATGACTATTTATCAAAGTTTATTCTGGCCATGAGGGCAAAAGAAACAAATAAGGGTCCTCAGAAAGGACTTAGGAAGAATCTATTTACAGTTAAATTTAGTACTTCCTACCCACAGACTTTACACCCTGAACCTTATATCCACAGCTCATTGATATGGGGTTCAATTTAGCCGTTCCAATATCCTCTTTGGCCACTAGATGGTGATACTACTCCATGGTAGAACACCAGAGGCTAACTAGAGGCTTCCCTGGAGCTTGTCAGCAGCACTAAGAGGAAGAAATCTATTTCTCAGTCTGCAGCGAAGAGGAGACTTGGGAATTCAGGAATACTGTGTGTATCTCCTACTATTCATGGTTCCTTTTTTGATTTGTTTTATGACTGCCTTATTCTTTTAACTTATTAATTTGCATTGTCCCCTAATGCAGTAATTCAGTTATTTTCTCTCTTGTCAAGTTTCTGAAGAATGGTTGTAAATGGCACTTATTCAGAGATTTGAGAGCTGTTCTAAGATGTATTACCACCACCAGAAAACAAAAATACCCTAAACTGAACTATCTCCTAAATATCTAGGCTATTAAGACAAATAATTTATTGCCTGATGTATATTAGGAACTGAAGAATATGAAAAAGTATCAGGGTATGTTCCTTGGTTCTTACTGACTTCACAATTTGATTCAAGAGACCAGATATGTATAAAAAGCTAAATAACAATAATACCAGAGGTATTACAATGCAGTTATTAACTCCCAATGAGTGATATAAGCAAAAATACTTGTGTTTGGAGAATGAAATAAACACAGCTAAAACAGTTAGAGAGGACTTCATGGAAGCAATGGAACTTAAGTGTGGCCTTGAAGGATATGTAGTATTCGGACAGGCAGGAAGATGGTATGATAAAAGGTTGAAGGTCGCTTGTGTTTAGGAAAAGCAAAAAAGCTTACAGTGTTAAGGAAAACCATGTGATATGTTTTGTTGCTGTTCAGTTGTGTTTGACTCTTTGTGACTCGATTTGAGGTTTTCTTGGCAAAGATACAGGTTTGCCATTTCCTTCTCTGGCTCCTTTTACAGATGAGGAACTGATGCATACAGGGTTAAGTGACTTACCCAGGGTCAGACAGCCAGGGAATGTCTGAGGCCAGATTTGAACTCAGGAAGGTGAGTCTTCCTGACTCCAGGCCTATCACTATATCCACTGTGCCACCTAGCTGCCCATTGTGATGTGTTTAAGGGCTACTGAATAGATTAGATTGTTTAGGGAAGTGGTAATTAGGTCAGCAAAGTATGGGATCAGATTGTGGATGTCAGATAAAGTAATATAAACTTTATTCTATAGGGGTCATCAAAGACTATTGAATAAGGGAGATGACAGATTTATCTGGTGGTATGTAGGATCAGAGATAGAAGAAGAGAGGCATGGCAGCAGTGGAAAAGAGATAATATATGAGACAATAAAGATATTCACTTAACTTGGTGATACTGATTTTGACTATGGGAAAATAATCATACCATTTATAGAAATGATTTTAGTTTTAGCTGGGCATGGGAGAGGAGGGGAAACTTTTGATTTTGACTTTAGTCAAACTGAGTGTGAGAAGACAATGGAATACCCAAATATACTGTCTACTAGGAAGCTAGAGATGTGTCTGGAGCTCAGGAGAAGCCAAAGCTAAAAGTACAGATTTGGGAATCGTTAGTATAGAGATGGTAGTTAAAAACTGAAAATAGGGGAGCTAGGTGGTGCAGTGGATAGAGAATTGGCCCTGGAGTCAGGAAGACCTGAGTTTAAATCTGGCCTCAGACACATAACACTAGCTCTGTGATTCTGGGCAAGTCACTTAACCCCAATTGCCTCCACCCCTCTCACCAACAAAAAAGAAAAAGAAGACTGAGAATAAATGGGATTTCCCAGGAAGGGAATACAGAATTAGACAAGCAGAGAGATAAAGAACTAAATCTTCTCTGCCCACATTTGGGGAATAGGAAGAAAACTAATTTTAAAGAATATAAGCATGATCAGAGTTAGGAGGAAAAGAAACAGGGTAGTATGCCTCCCATATTGTCTAAGTTGTATGGGTTCATTTCTTTGAAACATTTCTTTTCTTTCCATTTGATTTCCACAAACCCAATCCTACTATCAGGGACATCCAGATGGTCCAGTGGATAGAGTGCTGGGCCTGGAGTCAGGAAGACTAATCTTCCCAAGGCCATATCTGGTCTCAGATACTTATTGGCTATGTGACCCTGAACAAGTCATTTAATCCTATTTGCCTCAGTTTCCTCATCTGTAACATGAGCCAGAGAAAGAAATAATAAATTCCAATATCTTTGCCAAGAAAACCCCAAATGGGATCATGAAGAATTGGACACAACTGATAAATGACTCAACAAATTCTACTATCATGCCCTAATAACTTAATGTGGACTAGTCTAAAAGCCTTTTTGTCTCTACTCTTGCTGTCTTGTGCATCCTGACTTGCTAAGAAGTCTGGTTCATAACTTTTTCTGCATTCCAGATTCAGGTCAAGAGTTTGACCTAGTTGAGGCTCTCTTTGGGCACACTTAGAAAATTACTATATGTGGGCTGAACCAGGAACCAAGGATACTTTTCTATGTGTTTGGCTATGAAGTCTGTTAAGAATTAACCCTGGTACTTTTTCATCTCACCATGGGAAAAGTGTCCAATTGAGAGAAGTTATGTTTATGTATTTCTAAGGGTCTTGGGGAGCCCAGCCCTGGGATTAGTTTTCCTACAGTGATTTCCCCAGTCCCAAGATTCCTGCCCCGCTTCTGCCTTGGGCACTGAATGTTCACCAGAGTCCTGGAGTCAAGCCTTCTCTCTGGGCCTCAGCACACACACGGGGCTAATGCAGGAGCATTACGTTAATTAGTTATTCATTTAATTTAACTTCACATTTGGTCTCAATTAAGCCTAAAGTGTTCCTCCTTATAGATGCTACAATAGCACTTGTAATTAAAAAGCAATAACTCTTTGCATTTCTCCTTTTTAGAGACCCACTGGGAGGCTTGCAGAGTAGGGGGAGGAAGATAGCAATAAGAGGGAAGAAGGAAGCAGTGGTTGAGAACTCAGCATTGTTAGGAGACAGACACAGTTGACTCTGAGACGGAGAAGTTGGGGAAAGTGGACAGGGTAAGTCCTAGGATGTCTGCTAAAGCTGCTGATGCTGGCTTTGAGAGATGGGTAACGGTCCTGGAAGATGGGTACAACTCTGGTAGAAAAGAAGGAAAAGGGGGAGGGGACAACCATTATATCATAATTATGAATACTTACTAGGACAGGATGCCAATTGAATAGGGACATAGTAAAACAAATCAAAATGTCAAAAGTTAAAAGTGGTAGGGATATCTGTGGTTCATATATTACATAATGTGTGATGTGTGCCCCATTTACCTTGTCAGTTTTCTGCAGGCAGACCCCATACTAAGTACGTTTTCCACATTTCCAATGCATTTTGAGGATTTAAAAGCCCCCAAATGAGTAACAGCTGACAAAGTGAACCTGTTTTGAGTTTCTCCTACATCTGTAGGAAAAATATGGATCTGATATAGATGCCAGCTTCTCCTGCCTGGGTTCTAGGAGCTTAAGTCCAAAAGCTACAGGAAGAGAAGATTCTTTTGACTTCAAGCCCAGCAAGCAGAAGTTTAAAAGATAGTAAAACTATACTTTTCACAAAGTACAGTTTTGTTTAAGGCCATCCCTGCCACCCACAAGCCTGTAACTACTGTTTTTGAAATAGCTATTTATGAATGGTTTTATTGGGGAGAAATGAAAAGTTCCCAACCTGGTTTGCTTTTGTATTGTATTTTAGTGATCATTGACAGCCTCACTGCTGTTAACATAGTGATCTGACAACTAAACACCTACTGAGAAAGCAGAAGAGAGATAGATATATGACCAGCCACCTACCCATAGGAGTCTTCCCAGACTTGCTCTTTCAGCAGGGATTCTCCCAGGAGAAGGTGACAAGCAAGAGCCCGTGCTTGTTAGGAAGCAGTGTTCCGCTTGGGTTGACCCAGCATCTTTGTGCTGCAGCTCATAGGCACCTGGGGTCCTCGGAAGCAGCAGATGCAACTGCTCTGAACAGTACAGTACAATAATATGAAATCTGTCAGCCTGCTCTTGCCTTCCAATCTGTTTAGATATGTCCCAGTTACCCCTTTTATTCCCTTACATATGCTCTGTGCCAAAACAGATTCCTCACAAATAGTTCCCTCTGAAGCCTTCTCTATTTCTGCGATGAAGCTCTAACTATATTATTCTTTAGGGTCCTGTGACAAATTGGGGAAAATTCAACCTGTCCCCATGCCTGATGATTCCTTAAGCTGTGTCCCTTTCAAAATTTAGTTCCTATATCTTCTGAGCAGGAATTGTGGCTTCTCTATGTTCACAATCAGACTCCACAGCTACAAAGTGACCTTAATCTTCCCCAAAGTCTTTAAGTTTCAAAAACTTCAGCTTGTTTGACTTGTAGCACTCATTTTCAGGTTTCTGATTTTAAGCCAGAAGACTACGCCTTAAATAGTCCTGGAGGCCATTAGTTCTAATTCTTCTTTACAACATGGCTAATGTGAAAATATGTTTTACATGAATCTATATGTAGAGCCTATATCAGATTGCAAGCCATCTTGGGGAGAGGGCAAGGGAGGGAAGGGGAGAAAATTTAGAGCTCAAAATTTAATGGAAGTGAATGTTGAAAACTAAAGATCAGTAAACTAATTAAAAAAATAGTTCTGGAGGGATGTATGATGTGATTTTGAAAACTGATGAGATTTAGAGCCCTTGTCCATTTCATGACTAATCTTATTCACTCACTTAGCCTGGGATTCCAAACAGGTAAAAAGACGTGACAGACACCAAAGATGTATGGCCATCAGTAGCTCTGGTGAAAGGATTATAGTACTAAGAGGATACAACAGTGTCTCAGATTGGATTCATATAATAGTAAATAAGGAAAATCGGAACTAAAGAGCCTAAGAAGGGAGAGAAAATGAGGGCACAGGATGCAATGCATATTCAATTTATTCACTACCAAAGTGAGGACTACTATTACTTCCTTACTTTTTCTCTCGCCTCTAATCAAACTGGGAATACACAAAAAAAACAGTGTTAACTGTTTTATTAGATGGGAAATGAGACCTATATGTTTTTTAGAATTCTCTAGCATAAAGTGATCAATAACTAACCGTTATGCAAAAATGAAAGTGCACATCCTTTCCAAATGAACTAGACTTTGAAAGCAATGTAATTTCACAGATCATCATAAAATACCTGATTTTTGGCCTTTGCCAGCTATACATATATATTTTCTTCCTATAAATCATTCCATTTTATCCTGTCTAATTTAAGTCCCACTCCAAAATAGTTATGTACCCTTATTTCTGATTCTAAATAGGTGGAAAACAGGTATAAAAAGGGGAAGTGATGTGTAGTCATTTAGGGTGATTGTGAAGACATTACCATTTCTCTTAAGTCAATGAGAATCCATCCCCAAAGGCATAATTCCATAGTTCTTCGATGAATCCCAATACTCATAGAATTCATGCCAGATCCAAGATATGGAAGCTGCCCATGCAAAACTGAGCAGCAGCTCTGTTCAATGAGTAGTTTATGGTATTTCTTTGAATAGTCCTTAGTCCGACCGAAGTGGTTTGGCATAGATTGGTTCCAGGATGTGGTGAATTAGAACCAGGAAAAGGCTTCCAAGGAAGAAAATACTGAGAAAAGCCAGTAGAACATAACGGCCAATGAAGAACTTGTCCATGATCTAGATAACAGAGAAAAACAATATCAAAAGTGACAGCTATTGGGCTGCTTTTCACTTTAATATCTTTATTATACTAAGTCTGAGATCTCTGGTTAGCAAAGGTCTCCAATTCTTAGATGTTTATAACTTCTAGACACTACCCTACCCTGGCTTTGGTTAATTAGTTTTGATGAACCAAGAGGCTAAGGGTTTAGAAGACACCTAGAAGAGTTCTAGAAGGATCATTAACTCTACATTCCCATTTTCTAATTTAAGATGGCCTGCATTAATTTGAAGCCGAGTAAGTCTCTTTAGGATATGCCTTAAAATAATACTCTGTAGCAGTCATCTGAAGGTATTTGGCCATTTTATAAAACCCACCCAACATTCCTAGGACAAATGTGACTGTTAACTAATTGTTTGCAACACCTGCCTTAAATATTTGTTTCACTAACATCCCAAAGTCATATGCTGATCATTGAAAGAAATCAATAACTATCAACCAGTCACACTGGAAGATTCTGGTTTTGACACTGATTAAAACCTGAAGTTAGTAATGATTTTAGCCTCTTAGCTCTACTATCATGTTAACTGGTCTCAGACCTCTACTCCCCCTAAATTCACATGCTGATAATCTACCAATCTAGCTAGGCAGCAATACAAACAGAGCAAAAGGATAAATGTCACAGCTTCCAAAGTCTTTGAACACAACACCTGAAAGATAATCCCAAATGCCTAAGTGGAGATCCAGACACAAAGAACCTGTCAAGTCCAAGCACCAGTGTGATTGCTGAGATCCAAAGACCCCAAGAAGAAAAGGGTTGCAACCACCCTGGCTGCTCAAGGGATTGCCCCATGCTCAGCTTACAACAAAGGTCATTTTGATGAAACAGCTTTAACATAAGTTTGACCTTGGCTCTAGTACAGAACAAGTCTCTTGCGGGCTACATGTTTGCTCGTTCGACACGTTTCACTTTCTAATTAGCCAATTAGCAAGCCTTGGTTGCAGAAGGCCCAGGTCATGTATTATTGATACGGTATTGAGCCAGGCTGCTGTAGGGGCCAGTTCCGGAAATCCTGCAAATGAGAGCTCCAATTTTGCTGGCCATGCTGACAAGCAGATTTTGCCCAAACCCTACTTTTCTTTCTAATCTGGGACTTCTGTGACAGAGGGTGATTGATTTTTATAGTATCTTCTTTTTTCCAAGAGGCTTTTCTTCTAGAATTCATATTTGTAGTAGCTCAAGCAGGAAGGCAGCCAACATTCTCTCCATTTCAGAGATGGGGAAATTGAGGCAGAAATTTGCCCCAGTTCACATATAAAAGATGGCACCTATAATGGCAAAGTGGTTTTCTGAAACACTAGCAGGAATCCTGGCATTTAAAAATATAATTCCCCAAAAGTTTTCATAACTAATGTGTTTAGTCTTGGCAGTTTTAGGCATAACTGTGAGTTGTAAAGATCACAGAGGTTCCATTTCAGCCCATGAACCGTTCTCTATAGGGATTCTGTGGCAACAGTGATAGTTCCCGCTATTTCTACTGGATTGCAGGCAAAGGACAAAAAAAAATCTAAGCTTAGCTTACCTGTCATCTCTTGTCAGAAAGGTGCTGGGCTGCAGAATGAAGACTACATTTTCAGACATGTGCAATGAGTGATTTTGCTTTACTGTACTGATTTGTTGGGGGGCTGGGGGTGGAGTTGGCAGGGAAGGGAAATTATTTTATTAGGGGAGGGTAGGGCAGTCAGTCGGAAATTATAGTGAAATCTTTAAAAAGCATCAATAAAACATTTTAAAAAGAAAAAAGAAATTATAACTTAGGATATGATTAAGAAGTAAAAGCTCTTGGCCCTTAAGGGAAAAGGCCAAAATTTCTTCATCTTGTCCTGGCATGGAATAATGAACCTAGTTGTTACTTTGGGAGGACTGGGGCTTAGTGGATTGCTAGTAAGGAAGTACAGCATAAAGAACAATTTTTAGAGGCATTTCAGGAAGTTGAACCATACTCTGCTAAAGGTAGCAATTTTGTGAAGAAATTAAAAGCCTAACAGCTTTGTATAGGTATTTGAGCACCAAGAGAAGGCAGAAGACAGGAAGACAAAGTACACGAACACAGCCCAAGTATCTGAGACCAGATATTATTCTATGGCACAGCTATAATCTCATATGATAATGAAATGGATCTTGGGGCAGTGACAACAAGCTATTGGCAGATAAGCTGAGAATGAGGGAAAAGAGGGATCACAAGAAGATTACATTTATGGAATCCTTTTATAACTTACATAGTACCTTCCTTACCACAAACCTGTGAGGTAGGTAGAACAACTATCATTCCCTTTTTACTGATGAGTAAAGTGAAGCTCAGGTTAAGGACATTGCACATAGCTAGAGCCAAGACTTTGGACTTCAAGTTGTGTCCTCTTTTTACTGCACCTGCTGCCTCTCCAAAGAGTTTCTCTATACTTCAGCTTTCAACAGAAAATGCTCCTCTTTGCTGACTGCTTTCCTCAATGAGGAACTATTCTCTCCACTTCACAGATGGAAAAATTTACACTGAGGAAGAAAGGTATGTCATTCAGCAAGCCTGAGTCCCTACAAAGTCTAAATTGGCTTTGAAGGCTTTACTGCTTGTTTGATGTGATAGGGGCTAGAAAAATATCATGACAGGCACATATATGTCTGATGGTGTTCCAGTAAAGATTCAGAACTGGATTATTTTTCTTAGAGAATGGGCAGACTGGGAATTAAAAACTCTCTCTGTGCTTTCTCCTTCACTGTTCTGCCACCACAGCTCTTCTAATATCACATAACAAATTAATCCTACATCAGGGAAGGTCCCATTAGATTTGGGAAAGACATAAGAATCACAATTAGAAAGGCAAAAAGAAACAGAATTTTACCTTAATTTCTACCTCTGGGGTTGGGACCTCAGTGGCCCGGGGAAACAACAACAGAACAGATGTGATGATCACAGCAGCAAGGAAAACAAAAATGACAAAGAACCTGAAAGACAAATACACAAGTATTAAAAGCACTGTTCACATCTTCCACCAATGTGTTGGGCTTAGAGTGCAGGCTCCAGTCTCACAACCATGCTGAGAGGGCTTAGCTCAGTAAATTTAAGAGATTTTTCTAAAATCATCCTCTTTGTCCTGTTTTAGATAGGTATTAGCTACAAGTATTCCTAACAGGATCCAAATTCTGATGTTGCAAGTTTGGGGCCTTTGCCTCTGATCACTCACACACACACACACACACACACACACACACACACACACACACTGTAATAACTATAACAATTCAAGTCAAAGCAGGCTTTTTCTGCATAAATACTCAGGTACTCCTACAACCTTCCTCTTCACTCTGGCAGCACAGGCAGAACATCCATAGGCTAGCACATTTTCAAAGGCTAGTGTACATGGCCTTAGCTTCACAATCATTGATGGCTTGAGGTATTCATTGCTCATTCAGTTTCTCTGGGCCCAGACCTAGAGCTTCAGAGAAGGAACTAACTAAATTCTAGAAATCTAAATGGTTAATTTTTTTTTTGTGAAAGACAGAGAAAGTAGATTTCCTTATATTTCTGGCATGTTTTCTATGTCAGTGAAAACTGGAAAATAAATCTTCCCCTTTTGACCATAAATAACATAGTTAGTGTTTATGATAGGCTAAAATGCAACTCATTCAAACTGCCAGTAATTACAAAAATGATCTCCTGAATTCTAAATGTTTAATGAGTGTCAGCGATTTCACCTCTAATTGCTTTTACCGAGGACTCCCAGCTGGAAAGAACATCTTACCTAGCTAGACCGGAGGCTCTACATAATAGCACACACAGCAGCAATACCAACACCCAGAGCAGTGCTAAGATGAATACTCCTGCACCCACTCCAAGTACAGCACCAGCCATTCTAGAGAAGAAAGGAAACATCAGCATTGCTGCTTTGGCTCAGCATCACTGCTCTGCCACAAGAACAGGATTAAATGTCCTATGTGTTCCATTTGCCTTCTTCCTTCCTCATATTCCCAGTTTTTATTAACCCATTCATTTGTGTGCAGAAAATCCAAGCTGGAGCACAAATTGACTGGGGGGGGCAGTGTTAGTGGAAGGAGGGGATTTTCTGATTAATATGTGAGGAAAATTAACCAGGGCAGGTTATGAATTTCCAGAACATGTCCAGTCTGAGGACCTCTTAATAGACACTGGAAATTCAGGACACAAGACTTTTTCTGCTCTATGTTTACTGCCTGAAATCTGGCACATGTGTACTAGCTTGTTGATATCACTAGGCTGTAACAGCTGGACTGTAGTGTGGTGTACTTGGAAACAAGATCTAGCAGCAAACTCTGGCTTTGAAAATTACCAGCTGTGCAATCAGGGGCAAGTCTCTGGACTTGTCCAAGCCTCACCTTACTAAATGGGAAAGCATAAAGTATTTTCTACACAGCAATACAAAGTGGTAAAAGCATTCTGTGAAGAGCTATGAATAAGTCTTGTGTTGCTGCCATGTTATCATCTTACTGGATGAACTAAATTTATGGGGCAAACTACATGTGGGCATAAAAAAAAACTTCTGTGGACCTGCTGATCCCACAGTGGGCAATAAATATCAGAATACTGGGGGGTGGGAGAGGGTGAGGAGGTACAATGGATAGAACACAGGATTTGGAGTCAGGACCTGGATTTAATTCCTAGTTTTGATACCACCTACGTGATCTTGAGCAAATCACCTTTCTCCGAGTCTCAACTTCCTCATCTATAAAATGAGGGGTTTAGATTAGATGACCTCTGGGGTCCCTTCGAACTGAACCATATTTCTAGAAGCAACTCTGGTCAGCTGTAGACTACATACAGGCACAGGTGCCTCAAGTCTTCCCTCTCTCCGTATATACCAGTCAAACTCAAACATAACAGTTCATGTCACCTTTGCTTTTTCACAGGCTATCTCATGGTTTGAATGTACTCCCTTAAGTAAATCCAACTGAACTAGCATTTATTAAGCACCTGCTAAGTACCAGGCACTGAATACACAAACAGAACCAAAACAGTCTGAATCTTCAAGTAGCTAACATCCTACTATAGGGCAAAAACATACACAGATAAAGTTACATCTAAAAGAAACATATTAATAATTGATTGGGTGTAGAATTAATAACTAGGGCAGGAAAGGCTCATAGGAGGAAATACTTGAGCTAAGCAATTTAGGTCCCCATTTTATACAACAAATAAAAACTGATTCTCCAGTAGATCTGTGAACTCTACTGATGGGATTTCTTCCAACAATGCAGGTCATAATCCACCCACTCCCATCTATCTTCTGTTGATGTCCTGTAAGTTTGCCACCCAGCATGCTGGAAACCTTCCTCATTTTTCTCTAATATCATAATGGAATAGTGGGCATGATCATCAATTATCTCCTCTTGCTGTTACCACTTGAACAGTCAATCTATTTCTTCATACATTTTTTTGGTGACAACCTTAAATTGAGTCTCCTTTGTAATGTGTTGTCCTCTATTCACATCCACTATGTGCTTCTCTTCTTCCTGTCCAATTTCTTCAAGGTTCAAGTGTCACCTTTTATAAGAAGCCTATCCCTTTAGTTGCTAGTGCCTTTCCCTTCCCTACCTACCCAAAGATGTATTTGTATTTACTTTGTAACTACACAGAATGGAGCAGGGATGGGGAACCTTCAACTTCGAGGCTACATGTGGCCCTCTAGGTCCTCAATTTCTGCCCTTTGAACATAGAACAAAGGCCTCAATTGAGGACCTAAAGGGAATGTTGTCTCGAGACCAAAGGTCCCCCCTCCCTGCACTGTACAGGTAGAAGTCTTTGGAATCAAGAAGACAAGGGTTCAATTCCAGCCCCTCACATATTGACTGTAACCCTGGGCAAGTCACTTAACTTGTAATTTCTCTAGGCAATTTTAAGATTATAAATTGCAAAACAGTTGCAAATCTGCATTGGTAAAGGGAGTTCCCTCACCTGACACTCCTTCCATGAATGAAATCACAGTTACAGATGAAAATATGTAAATATTTTCCATTTGGTTATCTGTGTAAGTGCCCCCCCCAATACAGTGAAAGGGCCTTAAGAGCAGGGCCTATTTTGCTTTTGTATCTGCATTCCCTACACCTGACATACAGTAGGCACTTAGTAAATGTTTACTGAAAGGATAAATATGCCTTGGAGGAGGAAGAAGATGTACATGCCATTAACCGAGATCATACTTTGGGGGTTATGATTTTTCCCCCAATTTCCTTCTGGGTATTTCTTTTGAAAATAACTTTGTAAGGCTGTACAAATTCCTCCAGTAACAGAATCCTCTCTGAGTACACAGAGAGGCAGAAAGGGTGATCTGGGAGATTGTTTCTGGTCTGTGGATTCAGACCAGTGGTCATGCAATTTTTCATCTTTCATAAGCTTTTCCTAGACTAGAGTCGAAGCCTCATTTGAATCTGCAACAGGAGCTGTCCATCTCTACTGCTCACACCCAATAGCTCCCCAGGATCACAGCAGACGGTGTACTGTGCTTAGCTTCTATTTCCAGCTTTGTTGCTAAAGTATTCACTCCTCACCCGCACACCTGAGGAAGGGATATCAGCCTTTTCATAAGGATACTTGAACTTGCAAAACTTTTACGACGGCATTGAAGTAAATGCCACATTTCCCAAGCGCAAAGAAGACAAAAGCAACGGCCCTTCCCTTAGGATAAAGGACCAAGGACTTGAGCTGTGATTGAATGGATAAAAGAAACTCCCTCTACCCATGCAAGCCAACACTTTGCGTGCAGGACAGGGTCGAACAAAGTTTCCCCGAGCACCGAGAGGTTCAGGGACTGGCTCAGGGTTACACAGCCGGTCCCTGTCAAAGGCGGAACTTGAAATCCGGTCTTCGTGCTTCCGAGGCCAGCCCCACGTAAATGCCGGGCCCTTCTCTGGCTTCAGTGAAAAGTTACTGTCCCGCTGGCGGCACCAGGCACCAGGCGCGGGGGACGGGGGTGAGGGGAAGGAAGAGGGGGAGGAAGGGAGGGGGAGGGGAAGGGGTGTGTGTGAGGAAAAGCCGCTAGATCGGGGCCCCACTTCCTGCTGCCTTCCCAGTCCTTTCGCCTTCAACCTCTTCCTCCAGACCCGCTCTCCTCAGGTCCAGTGTTCACCCTCATCTGCTTCCCAGCACCTCCCCTCCCCATCCCCTCACCTGCCTAGCCCTCTCCCCAAGAGCTGACCCTGGGCCTCTTTTCCACACAACTTCGAACTCTGGTCTAGCCCCTACGGCAGTAGGTGCCTCGTTCTAGCGACAGCGAATCACAAGTGGTTTCTCAGCCGCAACCTCCCCTACCCACCAATCGAAGGCGGCCGCCCAAAAGCTCATTCCTCTCTCGTTACATCCTCCAATGGCGGTGGGAGGTTACTTCATCGTGCCTTACTATTGGTTATGCTGGAAAGAGTCCCGGACCCAATCTCAAAATCGATTGGATAGCGGAAGATCCGGGTTTCCTCATTCCATCAATGATTCCTTCTCGTTGGTAACCTGCCCCGAACCATTGGTTAATTTGTCTTGAGGGCGGGCCCCTGGGCGGAAGAGGGTGATTTGCCCTTCTTTGTTTCCATGGAGACCGTCCTAGCTGCTTCCATCCCTGGGAGGCGAAGGGGAATGTCGCCCCGCCCCGGTGTTATGAGTCTGTGCGGCTTCGTGGATTCCACTTTTGACTGATCACTGCACTGATCTTATGTCACTTTAGTTCCGGGGGGATCTTGGGTTACCCCCGGATCATGCGAGAGGGCGGTCTATGAACATCCCCTACTCTCTGACAGAAACAGACCTCCTCTTAGGTGGCCATTCCAGAGGCCTCTGGTAAATGTAAGAGTTGGATATTATTTTTCTCTCCTTTTACACACGAACCTTAAATGTGGAAGAAGAAGGAATTATTCTTCCATTATTGTAGACGGAGGTAACTCTAGCCTAGCAAAGGCAAAGGAATGCCCCAGGAATCACGCATCCATATGGTGGAACTGAGGCCTAGAGTCCATTTCTTCTGCTTCCCTGCTCAGAAGTCTTTTTGCTGCTGGGCCACGCTATCTCAGAACCACAAAGCAGAATTGACCGGGGCCTTCTCCTCAGGGAGAGCCTTTTAGAGGCCAAGGGACGTAAACCAGGGCCAATCAGGGAAAGTCACCACTGGGGAGTGGAAAGAGCACCAGATTAAGAATTGGGACTAGGCTTCAAATGTCAGCCTTCCGTGTACTAACTAGCTGGGTGATTCTGCACTAAGTCACTGTCACTTTCCTTCTCTGTAAAATAAGGGGAATAGAGTGGATAGAGCACCAGCCTGGGAGTCACGAGGACCTTCTTTCAAATCTGGCCTCAGACACATGATACTTACTAGCTGTGTGACCCACTAAACCTCATTGCCTAGCCAAAAAATGAGGGGGGGGGACAGGATGAGGGGAGCTCAAATATCTGTGATCCTCTGGAAAGGAAAGGGTGGCAAGAATATTATGCTCACTTCCTGGGTGAGATGAAAGAATGGCAACCATAAGTGTGAGGGCAAGAGCTTGCCACTGTTTATATTCATTCACTGTCTGTTCATCAGCTGGATTTGTTATTAAGACCACAAAGTAAAGTATTCAGTCTTGGGAAAAGGAAAGCCCTCATTTGTAGAGGCAGTTTGGCAGAGTGGCTGGGCACTCAGTTTCTTCATCTGTAAAATGAGGATAATAATAGCACCTACCTCTCATTTCTAGGGTTGTCTTGAGGATCAAGTATGTGTAAAGTACTTTGCATACCTTAAAGTGGTTTATAAATGGTAGTGGTAGTAGTAGTAGTAGTAGTAGTAGTAGTAGTAGTAGTAGTAGTAGTAGTAGTAGTAGTAGTAGTAGTAGTAGTAGTAGTAATCCCAGCCCTGATGCACACAGTATGGGACTTTCTTCTTATTGGTGGAGATCATACTCAGAGCCTGCATCAGGGGTGGTGCACAGTTGATGTGACTATGAGGAAGCAGAGCTCTTCAGTTCTCTTCAAGCTTCAAGTTGCTTTGGACTCTGCAATTGCTTTGGGTGTTTCTGGCTTCCAGTTTCCATAGGGAACATGTAAAAGCTAACCTCACTTCAGGTTACTGACGGAAAAGACTCTGGGAAGACCTGAAGGGAGCTGGCAATCTTCATTATGTCCCTATCCCCAGCTTGCTACAGTAGAGACTTTAGGGAACTCCCCCTTGAGTGAGTTCTAGGATTAGGTTGAGCTGTTACCTCACTCCAGTATTATCTGGTATATATTGTCCTATATATACTTTCTCTGATTTCTATTTTGCTACCAATTTGGATAAATGGTTTTCATTGATAATTGATATGTATGTTTATTGTGAAACTAGTATTTAGAGGAAAGGGGTCAAGTCTCAGATATAGTGCTTGGGGAAGTCCTTCCTCCCCCAATAATGAACAGTGATCAGAACAGATTGAAGATTGAACCTGAAACTCATATCCCCTAGGCAAACAGTATTTAAGGGAGCAAACAGATATAATACTAACCTGTTATACCCCCTCTCAGAGGAGAACAGAGTGGTCTCTGTCTCCAATCTCCTACTGCCTCTCTTGGCAGGAATTAGTCTCCCTTGGAGAAAGGGTGAAGGGAGAAGAGGCTAGAGATGTCTATTCTGCCTCCCTTTCATCCACACAACAATCTCCCTCTGCATGTGGGCCTGGGAACATATTATTATTAGTTCCAGGGTAATCTGCATGACTCTAATGCTAGCTGCCAGTGGCATGATGAAAGTTGAAAGGAATTTACTAGCTCCAGTCCAAAAGAATTGTTCCTGAAACAGCAGCAAAGGAGTTCAAACAATGAAGAAAATGTTGAGTTGGCCTGAGCGACTATGCTGTGGGTACAGTTGGGGATATGACTCACAAAATGGCTGAAATAACCCTGAGGCTTCATAGCAACTACATATAGTCTAGCAGAGAATCTATAGATTACATAGTTGCTTAGCAGAGAACCAGAAAATGGCCGCACAGTAGAGGAAGCAATACAGAAAATTACATCAGCAGTTCTATACAGAAGTAGCAAGTGGTAGCTTTGAAGGCACAGAGGTTTTCTAGCTGGCATGCAACTGTAAGAGGATCAGTTGTCTGGACTACATGTATTTCCTTTCCTAACAGACATGTGGGAATCTGGAGGCAGAGTGTGCCCTTGCATGTATATGCAGCATTATTTTCTTTAGTATTTACCTCGCTTTCTTGTAAAATGAAATGGCTTTTTTTTTCTTCAGCAAATGTGCCGTTTGATTTGTTCTGATAAAAAAAAGAAGCACTAGATAGGGGCTTATGAGGTGTGGTTTTAAATTGCTCCTATTCTAAAGTGGGTCTTAAACCTGAGAGTAGCTTTATAGAGATCTATGTTTAAGGGAAGCTCAAGCTGCACTCATTTCATTGGGGGGGAGATCAGTGTTAGCTGATGTAGGCCTTGATATAGGGATTATGATTTGGAAAGACTGAAGATGTGGAGAGGGCAGTTAGGTGTAGAGAATGGTCCCAGCAAAGGTGCAAAAACATCAGTCAATATGGTCCGGAGAGATTAGTGAGGTGATTAACTTGGTTTGAAGGAATATGAGTTGGATATATAGGGTGGAGTCAATTTAGAGCCCTAAACTCAGTTTAGTATTAGGAGTGAGATATCTACAAGTTCTGGGTTAGAATAATCACCCTGTATACTGGTCTGAACAATGATCAAAGTAACTTTAAATTTAGGATGGAAGTTAGGCTCATTTCATTTTTTTTTGTCAATTTCTCAGTTGTTCCATTAACTTTTGCTAAGAGGGGCTGCCAGTTTCTTGATTCTATTGGGTTGTGCTTGGGCAGAGTTCAAAGGCATAGTAATAACTATTTATAAAGAACTCTATATTTAGGTTTCAGTAAAGTGGAACCTCTAGCGCACCTTCTACCCTACAAAGGGCTAAATCTATTCCTGTTTCACTGTTTTAGTGCCCTCTGTATGCTAGGTTCTGTATACAATGTCTTTGTTCTCTAAAGCACAAATGCACATAGCGTATACTCATATATCCCTTCTCTTATACTTGGTTATGTTTTGCCTTGCATTTAAAAAAAAATAACTTTCTTCCTTAAAAAAAATCCTCAAACAATCTCTTCTTTTGCAAATGGGTGAGATAATTTGTTGTGCTTGTTAAGGATGGGGAAACAAGTGCACTGGTTGGTGGTGGGAACGAGAACATGGAATGATTTCAAGAATAGTCTCAAATATTTTATCCATATTTAGATAATTATAGTACTTAGTATTTGTCAAAAATTCTGCCAAAGAACCTGAGCATTTTGTAGACATTTTCTGAAGAATGATTATTTAAAATTTTCGTAGCATTGAAAGGTATCAAATACTTTGATAAGCATTAATTATTAGTTAAACCTTGGCATTCTGGGGTGTTAGGCAAATAACTTCTGCTGTTCTTTTCTTACAATGGGGAAACTAAGACAAAGTAGACCTTTATGATATCACAGTGTCCTGAAAATCAAGGATACTAAGTTCTCAAGTGGTCAGTCCCAACAGCTACCTTGATTGAGTTTACCAGACCGTATTTAGTCAATAGTTTAATATTCATACAATGTATGATGTATAGGTTTTGTTTCTTTTGAGTCTAAGACTTTGAAGTTAGTTAAATAAGTTAGTTGAATAAGAATTGTTCTTTACCTTTAGTCTTGTTAAATAGTGAAATAGGTGGCTAAAGGAGATTATGATACTGGACAGGGTTTTTTGTTGTTGTTGTTCAGTCATTTCAGTCCTGTCTGACTCTTTGTGACCCCATTTGGGATTTTCTTGGCAGAGATACTGGGACGGTTTGTTATTTCCTTCTTCTGCTCATTTTACAGATAAGAAGCTGAAGCAAACAGGGTTAAGCGACTTGCTTAGGGTCATACAGCTAGTAAGTGTCTGAGGTCAAATTTGAACTCAGGAACATGAGTCTTCCTGACTCCAGGCCTGGTGCTCTATCCACTGAGTCACCTAGTTGTCCTAGGAAAGGGTAATATATAGTCTTTAAAATTATTTTTTAAAATTTTGAACTTAACAAATGCCAAATAAAGTCAGCATTTACATATATGTAGTTATTAAGAAAAAGAGGAAAAAGAGAAAAACAGTCAATAAACCTGACCAAATACATCCAGAAAATCTGGAAATATATACAATATTCCACCCTTAAGGACATGTGTCTTCAGAATAGCAGGGGAAAGTGTCTTCTCGTAGGTCTTCTATGGGGCTATTCTTGTTTGCAGCTTTGCAACATTCATTTTTTTGT